ATGTGGAGCAATGAATGATAAGATGGATGAAGTATGCGATATGATGTATGATAGTGGAATAGATGTGTTATGTGTAAATGAGACGAAGCGGAAGGGAAAGGATGTCACTATACATGGCATATATACCGCGTACTGGTCCGGTGTAGATGAGACCGAGCGAGCATGCCAGGGAGTCGGTATCATCCTTTCAGAAAGAATGGGTCAATGTGTCAAAGAGTATGAATGTGTAAGCCCGAAACTGCTATGGATACGATTAAAAGTGGGCCTAAAGAAGTTGTTTGTTCTAGGGGTCTACGCCCCAGACATGTCTAAGCCACTTATATCCGAGAGCAGTTTTGGGAGATGTTAAGGATAGTGTTAATGAAATGTAAGGAAAATGAAAATATTGTTATGTTAGGAGATTTTAATGGAAGTGTTGGACTGAGAAGGCTTGGCTATGAAAGAATACTGGGAACGTTTGGTGATTAAAGTATTAATGAGAATGGTGAAAGCCTCCTCACCGTATGTGTGGAAAGGAATCTTTTTGTGACAAACACTTTTTTTCGTCATAAGAAGATTCACATGTATACTTGGGAAAGAGGTGATGATAGAAGCATGATAGATTTCATAACTGTGGATGAAAGAATGAGGAGCGCAGTGGTGGATACAAGGGTTTACCGGGGTTCCAACGTAGGGACGAACCACTACCTGGTCTTATGCCAAATTAGTGGTTTATTCAGACGTTGGCGGCATCGGACATCTGTGTCTACCACTGCGCTACAGCGTATAAGAATCTCAATTCTTTTACGGTTACAAGATGAAGATGTGAAAAACAAGTACAAATGTAGACTGAGAGAAAATATAAGTAATTTGGATGAGTTGTGTGTGAATGAGTTAGACTTGGAGAATGTGTGGCATAATGTGAAGAAAGGTTTAGTGCATGCAGTTACCGAATTATGTGGTTTTAGTAAGAGAACGAATGAAAGGAAAGACAATACGTTACGGTGGGATGATGAGGTACGTATGGAAGTTGAAGCAAAGATGAGAGCATGCCTAGATTTACTAGCAACCAAAGCTGGTAATTCTGGCGGTAAGAATGATGAGATTGAAAGAAAAAAGGCAGAGTTTAAACGTCTAAATAAGAGAGTAAAAGAATTAGTTGAAAGGAAAAAGCAAGAAAGAACGGATAAGAATGATAGAAGAATATCAGATAACTTCCAGGCAAATATTAATTCAAAACAGTCTAGATTGAATTCGATACGAGACGAGAATGGCTGTATTCTGAATGATGAAGTGTTGAGTCTAGAGAGATGGAAGGAATATTTTGAAAGCGTATTTATGAGTGAGGAGACGTGTGAACTAAATAAAATAGAAATTCCGAAAGAAGATGAAAGAGATAGATAGATAAGTATAGATGAAATAATGAAAGCAATGAAAAGCATGAAAGTAGGTAAGGCTTAACAAAATAATAAGAGCTAAACAAAATAATTCTTACCGAACAGGAGAAGAATTATTTTGTTTAACTACGCCTAATTCGATATCGAACTTTTTTGCTTAAGGGACGTGTTTTAACTATCAAGAGTTTATCAAGAGTTTCTTCAAAAGAGTTCTTACGGATTATAATATTAAAAGTGTTCGTGAAAGTGTAGCCAAAGATCCGATACTGTCTACCAGACGACGATTTCAACAACTGGAAATTAAGCGCAATCTCTAAAGACTATTCTGAAAAAAGACCAGTATGTGTTCCATATAATGTTTAGATAACTCAAGAACTTAAACCTCGGGACCATGAACGCCGGGGTAACTTCAGCAGTTTTATGCTAACCAAATTGGAAAGCGACCCTAATTTTTATCAAAAAATCATTAAGAGTTATGAAACCCATTTTGACCTCAGTGGATTTGTCAATAAACAAAGTTCGCTCATTTGGGGTGAAGAACAACTTTCTTTGATCCATGAACGACCTGTGCACTCAAGTCGAGGAATACTTTGGTGTGGAATTTGGTCAAGCGGAGTAATTAGATCCTACTTCTTGAAAGATGTTACGGGTGCTACTGTAACCGTGAGTCGTGATCGTTTGTGTAAAATGGTCAACAATTTTTTGAATTATCAAACGAGTCAGTTGGGCTTAGGAAACATGTGCCGCCATATGTATGTACAATCGGAACATTGAGAAGAATGTTTACCAAGTCAATTAATTTCAAGAAATGGTGACATTGATTGGCCACCAATATCCCCGGATTTCAGATCAGATTACAGATCCTGACTTTTTGTGGCGATATCTAAAGGGACGTGTTTATTCTAACAAGCCGATAAATATTCAATACTTAAAACAGAATATCTGAGACGCATTAAGTGTCACAACACCGGAAGTGTGCAATATTGTGATGAGAAACGCGATGAAAAAGCTATCATTAATTGTCATGCTGGTGGAGGTGGATATTTGACAGATTTTATATTCCACACGTAATTTTCAAGCCTTAATAAAGATTTTACGAAAAAGTACCTTATAATTTTTATATATTTAAAGTAAATTTTATAAATTTAGTTGCATACCTCTTATTTAGCCAACCTGTACTAACAGGCCCTTGCTCAGTGCACGTATCAAGGGAGCAAAGAACTGATTTTCAGCAGATACGAATAAAATATTTAATTATAATATTTGTGCGTGTTTGTAGTAGTGTAGTAAGTGATATAAATGAGTGAGTAGTAATTTGCTATTACATCAAGAATTACCTTAGTAATACTCTAAAATCTAGACATCTATTACGTCGTATATCTGAACATACAGGAAAAGGCGACCGGAAAATGCCAAATAACATGAAATTAAGTCCTCCCTCCAGTGACCCTAAATTAAGGTTCGTTTAATTTTACATTAAAAAACTGTTAACGTCGCTCTGCATGGAACATGCCTTCTATCATATTTGGAAGGTTTATGGGCTAGGAAAAATCAACCAAGCTGCTCTATTGCTGGTTGGCATATTATGATATTTATAATTTCTCAGGCGTACAGTTTTTTATCTAAATTATTACTTTTCACTCTAAATACGAGGGAAATCAGCAATTAAAATTTCAATTTACAATTTCCATAAGAGACAGAGATCAAACTGCTAGGTTGCTACGAAATGAAAGACAGGCGCTCCGAGTAACTGTTACCACTGTTTTTCTAATTATTTTGTTTACAATACAATTGTTTAATACGATGCATTATGAAACGAAACTTTGTGACATTTCTTAGAAAAGACCTACGTTCAGTAATGGACTTGAGGTTGTGATGATGATGATGATTTTTTTTTACTTTTGTAATTAAAAAAATAGAAGCGGTATATAGCGATATATAATTTAGAAAATGGAATAGGCCAAAATTTTTCATTGTGTTCAATGGTTGCTAATGTTTTTATTATTCTGTCATTGTTGTGTTAGCGAAGGCAAGCTTGTTACTTTTTGCGCATCCAATAAGTTGAATTGATATTAGGTAATACATTTGTGCCGCTTCCGGTTTCCTGGTATTTGTTGTAACTACAATGAAAGCTTTGCAAACAAAGTTAGGAGAAATTACGCAAATATTTTTGTTGTAAATGTATATAATTTGTTTTGTACTTACCGCTCGTATTTGTACATGTTGATAATTCATCTTAATTACTGTAAAAGATTTTTGGTAAAAATGACCTATGATTCGGTAGAAATTTTTACAATACAAAAAATTGAGAAGAAAATTGGCGAAAATTTTACTCAACGCGTTGCGTGTTTAAGAGTAAACAATAACAACAATTTGCACGACGCGAAACTTTGAGGCTCTGAGCCACAGAAGCTGAAAACTTTTTTCTTTTATTTTGCATACTAAGTCAATCGGAAGGAAAATTTTAAGATTACTTACAAAAGACCTTTCGAATATTTATACATTTTAAAAATGTCTAAGGTTAAGCTACAAATATTATTACCTTTTTTTAACAAAAATAACGATAAGATTGGCGGTGCATATAACATGATGTGACATATATGATACATGAACTGTAACATTTATTTTATAATTTAAGGTAAAAGTAACCTAACAATCTTTTATGATAATATAAGTATTTTTTAATTTAAAATGAATGAATAATAATTGAGATTTTTCTTTATTAAAAGAACGTTGTAGCTTTTACTTTGAATTCATTAAAGATCATTTGACGCTGTTATAGTAATGAGAGTTCGTTAAAGCAATGAGAAACTAAATATTCCGTGGCAGCTGAGGGACAGTTAAATATATTCAAATTATAAAAATAACACAACAAACAGGCTGTATTAAATAAATACATAGTTTACAAGCCGCAGATTTTTATTATTTTCACTTATTATCAGGAAGATGCTGCTGCCTTTCTCCTAAGGAAATTGAAACTGTTTCCCTCTATAGCCACTCACGACACCTACGGGTAACGGAAATATATAAGATAGTATGTATTCTTACGCCGTCTCTCATAACAATAATAATAATAAATGGCTAATAATAATGGCTAAATAAGTGGCTAATAATAATAACAATAATGAATAAATAGCGTAGGGAATTGATGACCCCATCGCCCGCTGACGTAACAGTTAAGTGACAAAACTGCTACGTCAACGCAGTCAGTCAACGCCTTGCGAGAGGTGTGAGCGCCGTGCCTTGGCAGAATTTAGGGCGCAAAGGCCCGTTTGTGCTTATGGCCGCACACGATACGGTGCCGGGCCTGGACGTCTCCCGTTAATGGACGCCCAAATCATGGATGATAGACAAAAAGATAGTGCGTAAAGGGCCGCTGCCTGGAGGTCACCAGGGCGCGTCTGGAGCTGGTGGTGGACGCAACTGCATGCGGGCCGCAAGCCGAGTGCATCATCCCCACCAGAAGGCTTGGTGTCGGCTGGGTCTTCTCGGACTCAGCAAGCGGCACCCGCCGCTGGTGGAGCACGTCGCATGCGTCGGTCACAATTAATGAACGCAAACGCACTGCGGGCGTACTTTAGGGCAAAAGGAGAAGAAACTGGATGTTTGGCGTATCGGACTCGGATGCATCGCTTTTTTGCAGAGTTGGAGCCATCTCTATCCGTCACTGAGCAAAACCTGGCAGACCGAGTTAGGTACATCCTGCGCTCCAATATATTTGGTGACGCCGAACTCGAACAACTACGACGTGAGGCTGTTCCCTCATCGAATGGAAATTCTACGGCTGGGAATGCGACGCCACTAGATGCGCAGCAAACTGCATATGTGGATGCTGCCGTCAATATTCCATTTGTGGTTAATTCATACGATGATGGAATAGTCTCCCACGAACTAGAGAAAATGAGGAGAATATTGGAAGAGTCGATGCTGGAAACGCGCAGCATGCCTCTTGAAAATCGACCGCGAGTTCCCCGCATACCCCTTAGAAAGCGAAATCGGGCTGTCGTGCGGACTCTTAACCCAATGCTGGTGACCTATTTGGAAGCCAGCCAGGAGCTTTGCGAGACGGACTTAATTCTTTTTGGCGCCGCACTGGCAGTATGCCGTATTATTGGCGCCAAACTTCCCATGGCTGGACGTGCTATTCGACAAAGTAGCGCCATCCCAGCCTGGAGAAAAAGAATTGAGGACCGTATCGCAAAGGCAAGGGCCCTTATCGGCAGACTGACAAGCTTCAGGTCGGGTAATAATAGACCGAGAGTTGTGCGCACCATTAGAATGGCGTTTTCTGGGACAAATATTAGTTTGTCCCAGCCGGATATCACGCAGAAACTAAGGGAGCGCATAGATGACCTGAAGCAAAAAATTGCTGCTTGGGAGAAGCCGATTCGACGATTTAGCGTGAGGTCAAGGCGGTTCAACCAGAATCGCCTCTTCCAGAGTGATCAGAAGAGGCTCTATAACTCATTGGAGCGACCAGAGGTATGTGGAGCGGGTCCAGGACCAGATCAGACTGACACTGTCGCATTTTGGCTTGGCCTGTGGTCACAGCGAGGGCCCTTGGATGTAAGTTGTGGCGAGCCAAAGTGCGAGTGTTACGTCTATGGACCCCGTCACCATAACGCCGGAAGACGTGGCTGAGGCGGTCCGTAGGGCCCCGAACTGGAAATGTCCGGGGTTCGACGGGCTGCATCATTACTGGCTGAAGGGGCTCGTATTGTGTCACGCTGTGCTTGCCCGACAGTTTCAAGAGGTTCTCGATCAGAAGTTGCTCCCGAGCCTCTTCACTACTGGGATCACTCACTTGGTTCCTAAAAATCAGGATACCACAGATCCGAGAAAATGCCGCCCCATCACGTGTCTACCCACCATATGTAAGACAGCGGTCCTCCATGTTGAAAGGGGAAGGGTTGCTAACTCCGAGGTTGAAACATACAACATCGATATCGATGAGGCTGGTATGAAACAGTCAGTTTGCGACGTGTTTTATGCACGCTTGACCAAAGTGCTTAACAGCCTTTTGTCCGGTGTGAATAAGACTCACGCATATAATGGTTGGGTCATGCCTGTCCTCATGTATACCTTTGGCATACTCAGGTGGACTCAGACTGAATTTAACGCCCTGGATAGAAAAGTCCGCACTACCATGACGTCCCATAGGATGCATTATCCGAGATCGTCGGTAAATAGGCTGTACTTGCCGCGAAAGTATGATGAGCGTGGCTTTCTAAGCGCGCTCACCATGCATAATCGCGAAGGCTGCACGCCTCCGTGATTACTTTCTGGCGAGATCGTATGATCCATTCTATAATGACGTCATTTCTAGTTATAAAGGGCTTACCCCTCTATCATTAGCCAACAAGCAATGGCAGGACCCATCAGTGCTTTGCATTTCCGACCGGGAGACCATATGGAAGGAGAAGGAGCTCCACAGGAGGTACTACAGGGCTTTACATGAGCCCTTCGTAGATACAGTCGCCTCCCTCAACTGGCTACGTTTCGGTGACCTCTTCGGGGAAACCAAGAGTTTTGTCTGTGCAATACAGGATCAGGTTATTAAGACCAACAACTATTGGAGATACATCCTAGAGGATGGCACCGTCGACATCTGTCGAGCTTGTCGCCATTGCAGTGAGTCACTGAAGGCATGTCATCTCCGGTTGTTCGGCGCTTTCTAACTCTGAGTACTTGCACAGGCACAAACGAGTAGCCAGAATTCTACACCAGAAGCTCGTTCTGAAATACGATCTCGTAGACCGGAAATTACCGTAATACAAGTACTTGCCGGAAACCGTGCTCGAAAATGACCGCGCCAGGGTCTACTGGGACCGGGCCATCATCACAGACAGGACTATTCTTGCGAATAAGCCTGATATTGTGTTGATGGATCGGGCACAGTCAAGGATATTTTTGGTCGATATTATCATACGTGTGACGAGAAACTCGTGAAAGCCGAAACAGATAAGCAATCAAAATATCTGGACCTGGCTCACGAGGTGACCGACATGTTGGGGGTCTGCCGACCAAAATTATTCCTGTAGTCGTGTCTGCAAACGGGTTAATCCCAGCCAGCCTCTCGGGTCATCTGAGGCGACTGGGATTCCATGACGGACCGCTCCGGGCTCAAATGCAGAAGGCGGTGCTCCTCGATACCGCCCGCATCGTCCGCCGGTTTCTTTCCCTTTCCTCCTAACCCTTGGCCGTTTGGTCTCCCCTGCCAAGGCTTCCATCTGGTTGGGCTTTTATTTATTTATGTATTATTTATTTATTTATTTATGTTAGTATATTAATTATATATTTATGTATATTTATTTTTTCCTTTTATATATTTATCCAGCCCAACCAGATGTGATTACTCTATCAATAACCCCCAATAATAATATAATTGTTATAAGTGGAGATTAGTCATTATAGTCTGTTCTCATACAATAATGATCTGTGTCACATTTTATATACTCTGTGGTTAATTAATAAAAAAAGGTCTTCCCGTCTGATTGTGTCGTGTGGGCTCATTATATCAACATATGCTTGAATAACTAAATACATAATGGAAAATTCTAACGCAATTTTCTTAGATATTTCGTTATTTTTCATTTTAGTAGAAAATAATACATTTGTAGTAACTAATTAGGTACTGCTTAAATAGATAAATGGATCATTTCTACTCTATAAAAAGTTTAAGTAAGTATTAATTTTTTATCTATAAATAAACGGCTATAAACTGAAATTATTCCAAAACTTATTTTCCTTATAGTTTAAATAAAATTTTTTTTTGTATATGTATTGGTCAGGTTTTAGAATTGATAGTATCATAAAGTAGTCAATCACTTCGTGAATTTTATATTTGACACTGTTTGTTTACTATATCATGATATAGCTTGACCAAATCAATGAATAGAGATCGTTTGGCGATATTAACAACTAAACACAACATTGCTATTTCTTGATATTGTTATATCGTAAAATATTTTATTACACACCGTTAGCAGCGTAATATAAGCATTAATAGCGTATTTTTGACAGAAGCGTAATTTAATAGAATCTACATCACTTTATGGCTTATTTATGTATTATAATATATCTTTGCGGTTTTTTTGTGCGTTTGGGATACCCCCAGTCGCACCTCAACTTATGCCGTTGAGCACAAGAGGGTACAGTTTTGGTTTTCATATAATCTAACCTTTCATAGCGCCACCTACTTACTGTTAAATATACTAATAATAAGTAACGTGAAATTAAAGACAATTCTATTGAATAAATATTATTGCAGCTTCAAAACTATCTGGACTGGCGGCTACTCACAGGATATTGAAATAATACTAGTTTTTACGGAATTTATCGCGTATATTTAACTTTTTTAAATATCCGACGTTTCGAACGCTTTACAGCACTCATGGTCACGGGCGGGACTGAGATGTTCAACGTCCATATGTCATAGTTAACCGCGGTTACCATAGATTAAAATTTAACTTTTGTTCCGATCTATATAGTATGAACTTATGGTTTCTTGAAGTCTTGCAGTTGTATGTTTGGGTTGGGATTTAATTTTATTTATTATCGGATCCCAAGCAGATGGTAGCACCCAGCCATCTTCTCCATTGAAATTAGGATGTTTTTTTGATTTCAATAGCCTCGCGAATCATCCTTGGAAGGAATCGGTGTTCTTTAGCGAGGATTTGCGGTCTATCAAATCTGATGTAGTGACGGGGGCGATCCTGTACGTGTTCACAGACTGCAGAATTCCCGGAGCGTCGATTCTTCACATCAGCTATATGTTCTTTAACGCGGGTTTTTATTGATCTTTTAGTTTGTCCTATGTAGGAGAGACCACATTCACAATCAAACTTGTACACTCCTGCATCTTGCAGAGGGACATTACACTTGACTGATGGTAAAAACTGACCCATCTTCTTCAGCGGCTTGAAGTATGTTTTGATGGAAGCACGCTTCAAGATGTAGCCAATCTTGTCAGTGACTCCTCTAACATATGGCAGTACAGCAGGTACACGCTCGACTGTGGCCGGCTTCACTCGTTCACTGTGACGTAGGCGCGGGACTCGAAGCTTGTTGTCATGCAAAACTTGCTTGACATGGTGGAGCTCGGCAGCCAGGAGTTTACTGTCACAGATCCCTCGTGCTCTCTGAAACAAAGATTTACCCACGGTAGCTAACTGTGAAGGATGGTGGTGAGAATCACTGTTTAAATATCTATCTGTATGGGTCTTTTTTCTATACACAGTATGGCTCAAGGTGTTATCAGGATTCCGAATTACTAACACATCTAGAAAAGCTAAGAAATTGTTTGCCTCTAACTCCATTGTGAACTGAATTTTAGAATTTATAGAGTTAAAATGGCATAAAAATGCAGTTACTTTATCTAAAGGTAGAATTGTGAAAGTGTCGTCTACGTACCGCTTGTAGAATCTTGGATTTATGGTAGAACTAAGCAGGGCTTTCTCCTCAAAGTCTTCCATGAATATGTCGGCGACAATGGGAGATACAGGTGAGCCCATCGCCACACCATCTACTTGCTTGTAGAACTCCTGCTTCCACAATAGGTAGCCAGTTGTAAGGCAGTGTCTGAGTAAAACTGCATATTCTACGGGCATGTTGTTTTCTTCCAGCCTTCTAGTTACAATTGAGATGCAGTCTTCAACAGGTAAGCATGCAAACAATGACTGCACATCAAAACTGACCATAGTTTAATTGTCTGCCAGATGTAGGTCTTTAATCTCACTGACAATGTAGAAAGCTCTTGTATGTCCCCTGAGCGGTGAGAGTATTTTCGCTAAGTGTTGAGCCAATCTGTAAGTTGGTGAATCGATTTGGCTCACTATGGGACGTAATAGAGCATTGGGCTTGTGTATTTTTGGTAACCCATACAATTTTGGTGATTTGGCGCACGTAGGTATTATCCATTTTACGTCCAGATTTAATTTTTCGGAGTGTTTCTTTATGAGGTCACTAGTTGTTTTTAGTGTGCTATTTGTTGGGTCGTTTTTAACCTTTTTATAAGTACTTTACGATTCTCCGCGCAAATAAGGGAAACGCCAAGGTAGTTATGGATACGTCAGATTATAATTCTAACACAATGGAGTTAGAGGCAAACAATTCCTTAGCTTTTCTAGATGTGTTAGTAATTCGGAATTCTGATAACACCTTGAGCCATACTGTGTATAGAAAAAAAACCCATACAGATAGATATTTAATAGGTGATTCTCACCACCATCCTTCACAGTTAGCTACCGTGGGTAAATCTTTGTTTCAGAGAGCACGAGGGATCTATGACAGTAAACCCCTGGCTGCCGAGCTCCACCATGTCAAGCAAGTTTTGCACGACAACAAGCTTCGAGTCCCGCGCCTACGTCATAGTGAACGAGTGAAGCCGGCCACAGTCGAGCGTGTACCTGCTGTACTGCCATATGTTAGAGGAGTCACTGACAAGATTGGCTACATCTTGAAGCGTGCTTCCATCAAAACATACTTCAAGCCGCTGAAGAAGATTGGTCAGTTTCTACCATCATTCAAGTGTAATGTCCCTCTGCAAGATGCAGGAGTGTACAAGCTTGATTGTGAATGTGGTCTCTCCTACATAGGACAAACTAAAAGATCCATAAAAACCCGCGTTAAAGAACATATAG